AAACGTAACACTCTCCTTCCTCCTCTGACACTCCTCACGACAACCACCCTGTGAGGTGGGCTGAACTGAGAGAGGGAGGGAGGGAGGGAGGGGCCGGCCCACGGTCACCCAGCCAGCTTTCACGGCTGACGTGGGACCAGCCATAGCTGAACCACTGGGCGAAAGTTAAATCCGTATGGATCGAAAGCAGCATAAAAAGCAAAACCCTAAATAATTCTAAGAGTCCCAGCAAGCATCACATCGTGCCTGCTTGGATGTCAGAATGTCATCAATCAATCAATCAAACAAACATCCATCAAGCTTTTGTTGCGGGAAATCTGAGTGTGTCATTTTGCGACCGCTTCCCGGCAGCCGAGAGCAGGGGAAGAGCGTGGCACGGAGGGTCAAAGCAGCCCAGCCCCCTCCCCGTGGCTTCTTCGGGCCCCTCCAAGCCAGCCAAGCCCCAAGGGGGTTTCCCCACGCCCACCCACAGACCCTCTTCCTTCCTGACTGGGGGGTGGAGCGCCTGTCCCCACGTCGGGGGGCCACACCTGCGGAGGGGAGGCTCACCTGCGACTGTCTGACGAAGATGCCGTGGTTCTCCTCGCAGGTGAAGTATCTCCTGCCCTGCACCGTCCCATCGTTTTTGCCTCTGGCTTCGTCCAGGATGACGCCGACCCATTTCCCTGTGGCAAAGAGGGTGGCCCCCACGTACGCCACCGTCCCACGGTGCCCCTTGCCAATCACTTCCACCCGGGCGCCCACTTTCAGGGGCTTGCCGCTCGCTTCCGCACTCATCCTGGCACTGGCGCTGGAGACCTAGAAGAGCCAACGCGAGAAGGAAAATGGTTGGCCGGCTGCCCATTCGTGGCTTGCAGGTTTTTTGACCGGCTTTCCTGCGGGACCTCGAGGCAACCCACATAGGGAGCTCTCCTCTTATTTCCCCCCCCAATGACGATCCTGTGAGGCAGGCTGGGCTGAAGGAACGTAACTGGCCCCCAGTCACCAGAGAACTACCATGCTGGGGGGGGGAGAGGTTAGACCAAAACAGCCCAACAACCCAACTGCTAACCGAGACGCTAACAACAGAGGAGAAACGAAGGCCGTCCCACCCACCCGGAGACCAAGGGCCGCCTTGAGCCGGAGAGGGAGCAGGAAGAGGCCTGAAAGCCCGGGGGCTGCCCCCTGCCTCTCCTTCTGGGACCGCTGGCAGCCCACAGCCTCCTCTGGACGCCCTGGGTTGGGGATCCCCAGAGCAGCCGCTCGGCCACTGGCGCCCTCCCCTTCGGGCTCTGGTTTCGACGCTGCCCTCGTGGGCCCTGAGGGAGGCCTCGGGAGGGGAAAAGGCCCTTCGGAGTTTGGGGGCCGGAGCTGCTGGCTCTGCGACGTCTCTGGGCTCCTGAAGACGGCCAACGCGCCCAGAACGGGATAAACCGGGCCGAGTCCAAACACCCGGAGCCTCTCTTGGCAAACTCCAATGTAAGCTTGGGGACCCAACCTGGTCTGGCCCAGCGGTGCCCCCGGCATAAGCCCTGCCCCGTTTGGAAGGGAGCTGGGCATCCTGCCCGGTGTGGAGCCTCCATGCAGAGAGGACGGGCAGAGCTGCTCTGGAGCACCCCAAGAATCTCTCTGTAATCAGAGATGCGGAAATAAATTGCACAGAGAAGCTTCTCCCAGTTGGTTCCCTTGGCTAAGTTCATTCCACTCTGGTGGAAAAGGGCCCTGGATCGGAAGAGAGGAAGACCCCCTCAATGGGGATCAAAATGCCCCCAGACGCGCCTCCCGCAGCCTGGCGCTTGGAAGGAGCCTCACCCTGGGCCGGCTGCCTCTCCAGGCCCCCCAGACACAGGCGCTGCCAGGGCTCCCAAGCCGGAAGGCGCCTGGCAGGGACCCCCTGGCTCTCCTGCCCCCGAGTTTTATTTCCTGCATCAGCCCAGACCCTCCTGTTCCCGTCAAGGGCCTCGTCCCAGCCCAGAAGCCCCACCGAGGGAGCAGGAAACAGCACAGTAACTCCTATTAAGTCTTTCAGGGCCTGCTCTCCTTGCCCCACAGGTCTCAGGGCAGCAGGCCTCTGAATGAAGACCCAGGAGAAGAACGGCCAAAGGGCCCCAAAGGGAAGCCCTCGGCTGTCCAGCCAGATCAGGGTGGGGGGGAGCTGCTTCGCCCCCGCCTCTTGGCGTATGGCAGCTTGGCAGGATAGGGTGGGTGCCAGCTGATTGACAGTTAAGGTTATTATCTGTTTTTATTTATTATTTATGTATTTAACAGACTTATATGGCCACTCATCTAGTGAAACATAACTCTGTGCAGCTCAAACAGCCATAAAAATAAAAAATCTGGTCCCTGACCAGCACCCTTATTGCCAAAAGGTGGCCCTTAATACAAGCTCTGGAGTCTCCGTCTTCCTCCAGCAGCCCTCCGGGCATCCCTCAGGCCACTTCCGCTCCTGGAGCTGGCTCAGAACCCGGGGTCCACCTAGCCAGGTGCAACCTCAGCCAAGGCTGTGGCCCCTCGCTCCTTCCAAGCAGCAACTGAGGCTGCTTCCACTGAGCTGTGCCCAGAGCTGCTAGCCCAGCTCCCTCTGGAACGCCACCGGGGTCCGTCCTTCCTTCCTTTTCCTTCCTTCCTTCCTTCCCTCCCTCCCCCCCTCCCTCCAGGGCACATAACCAGCCTGGGAACCCCAACACTCTCCAGGGAGCTCTTCCAGCTGCCCCCTCCCTAACGGGGGATGAGGAGCTGCAAGAGGGAGGCCGGCCTCGGACTCAGCCACTTCTCTGAGCTCACCCCCACATCCGGTCAGGCTCAACTCATCTTCCGCCAGCGTCACTCGAGGTGTCTCTGCACCCACTTCACCCCCCGGAATATCAACACCCACCCACCCACCCACCCAGGAGCAGCAAACGAGGGAGAGCTCACAGCATCAACATTATTCTTAAAAAATGAACATTCAATAAAACCCGTCATAAAAACACCCACAAAAATGAACTCCCCGGCAGTCAGGAAGTGGCGAAATCAGCCAAGCAAACCCTCCGGTGTGACTCCCAGCCACCCCCTGTTCAGGTCCACCAGCTTTGCTCCCTCCCTCCCTCCCTCTGAAGGTGCCACGTGCAGGAGGCAGGAGGCGGCCACGGCTGCCCGGGCCTGCTTCAGCTGAGAGCCACGTGCCTTTGGGGCCTCTGATCGGCCTCACAAATCTCTCATGCCCCAAGACTAGAATTTGGGCCTGAAGCCACCAAGGACTCAGCTTGCCCAACCCAATGAGCCAATGACCGACATCTCAGGAGAACGCCGACTGCGGGCGAGATGCCCCTTGGCCCTCCGACCGAAGCGCCCCTGCCTTCCCACCCGCCCACCCGCCCCAGAGAGCAGAGGGCTCCCCCACTGACAGATGACCGGATGGGCACAGCTGCGAATGGAGCCGGCGGCTTCCCTGCTGCAGCAGAGGCTTCCAGGCAGAGGAACCCAAGAGAGGCTCAAGGGCAACCCGTGCGGAAGCGCAGATAAATGAAGGGACCAAAGCCAAAAGACCCAGCGCCCAAACTGAGGGAGAAAAGCCCAAATCTGCCTGGCAAAGAAGCTGCCTGGGCAGCCGAGGATCGGAGGAGGAGGCGGAGGGCTGCCAGGTGCCTGGATGATCTTCCGACTTGATTCCTCTGCAAGGAACAGCAGCTGCCCCAGAACCACCGTCTGCCCCTCCTTTCCCAAAGCGGCTACTTCAGACCTCTCAGCCCCAGTGGGGGCCCAGGAGGGTCTGCCCGTGTGGGGCATCCAGGCCAGAGGAAAGGAAACCCCCCCCCCTCTCCCAGCCCCACCCTGGGCCTTCTCCTGAGTCACTCCCAGCCAGCCGAGGGAACGTTCAGCCTGGGGAGTGGCCCTCCAGGCCCCGATCCTTCCCCTGTGCAGAGTCAGGGCGTCCGTCTCCAGCCAGCCAGGCATCCTCAGCCTGAGCTAACTGAAGGACGACTGGGCCGGTCGATCAAGATTTTAAGTGACTGTTTTATTTTCTACTGTAACAGAACAAAGAACCAAAAGCAAAGCATGAATGAAGGTATGAATCTGGGGCAAGCAAGCAAGCAGGCAGGCAGTGTTGGCACAAGCCAGGCTGAGTGGCGTTTCCTTCCCTTTGCTCATAACCCCTGGCCGGTCCTCACCCGTCCTCCCTGCTCCATGCAGCACTGGTCACTCCCAGAGGGAAATGTGGCTGGGTCAGAAAGGCGGGATGTAAATTGTGGAAATAAATCAAACCACTCAGGCTCACCTCCTCCCGAGGACATACACCAATTCTGCAACGGACTATCAACAACCAGGAAGGGAAAATCTCAGTTACGGTGCTAGCCAGGCCAGGCCAGGCCGTAAAGTCCGGTCGCTCTCTCCTGGGAAGGCCCAAACAAAGAAGCTACGGCTACTGGCTACTACCTGGGCTGACCTCCCCAAATCCAAATGCAAGGCAACCCCCCAAATGCTGTTCACCGTCCTGTGTCTAGTCCCACAACCTCCCGGCATTCTGAGAGAAATCAAAAGGAAAACTGCCACGAAACTGGGTAGGCGCCACTCTTTCCCCTTTGCCCACCGGCCCTCTCTCTCTGGGGGCGCCAGGCCTGAAGGCTCCACCCGTCCAGCTGTTCTGGAAAGGCACCTGGAGCTCCAGAAGGTTTCCTCATCCTGCATCAAACGGTTGGCAGGTCCCAGCTCGGAACTGGCCCAGGGATGGGGTCCTGGGGTCCTTTCCCAACCTATCCGGTGAGGCTGCCCAGGAGTGATCCCGGGGGGGGAAACCTCTCTCCACCCCCACCACCCCCCAGCTGAGGCCGCTGGGGCACAGCAGCCTTCCCACCTGGGCAACGGCTAAGGGAAGCCACGGCCGGCCGAGGGAAGCGGGCTGCATTTTGCATTCGAATGGGCGGACAGCTTCCTCCTCCGGCCTCAATTAATCAGGCAGGGTCGCTGCAGGAGAGCTGAGCAAGGATCGGGTGGCTGCCCGAGTAGCGGAGGCAAGGAAGGCGCAGCTGGAAAGCCTGGGAATGTCGCTCTCCGTCTTCGAGCCGCTTGCGCTTCCAGGCTTTGCGAAAGCGAAGGAAGAGGAGGCTGCTCCCAAGTCCCCAGAGCCCAAAGCACGTTGCCACAGGCCCTCTGGAGGTGGGTGGGGGACGGAATCGGAACGAAACGGCAAAACCCCCCAAGAGGAAGGTCCACGGAGGGTGCAGGGGACACCCGGACCACAGCGGGGTGGCAGTCTGGGGTTTTGGGGACCGTCCACGGCTCCCCTCGGTTTCGGTGGCCAAGAAGGGGCAAGGAGCCAAGAAGGGGAAGGGAGAAGCACCGTGCCCAGGTGCCCAACTGGCTGCCAAGAAAGCCAGAGGCAAGTCCCAACTGCAGAGGCTTCCCCGGCAGAGAGGACCATCGGCCCACGTCCCTCCTCCTCTGGATGCACAAAGCATGGCGAGGGGGGCACCTTTCCCCTCGTTCTCTCTCTCTCCCCCCCCCATCCACCCAGCTGCTGGCCTCCCTCCCCTGCCTGGAGAGCCACGCAGACCCTGCAGCAGACCCTGCAGGTCGCCCGGTCCTGCCCCCCCCCCGTTGCCACTCACCTGGCCATAGGGGTGTCGCTTGAGCTGGGCCATGCTGAGGCTCTTCCCTGCCAATCTTGCTCTGGGAGGGCAGGCTCAGCTCCTAGCAGGACCCCCCCTTTATGCCAGGGAGGAAGCGAGCATCCCTCCCGGGGAGGCCGAGGGAGGCGGAAGAGGCCTTTTTGTGGGAGAGGCCCCCGAGCCCCCCACACACAATCCTGCCCAGCTGATGGAGACTCACTCTGCGCTAGTGCTGCTCCAGACTCTTGTCACAGGGACTGCCAGCCCACTGGGTCCTAATGCTAGCTTGTTCTGCCCCGAGACCCACAAAGGCAACGCGGGCAGAGACCCAGACGGCCCCCAGCTCTGCGACTGACCCAAACAGCCGCCCAGGGCAGGACCTGGCAGCCCCAGCTCAGCTGCAGGAGGCCCCATTCAGGCCAGGAAGCTTCCAGAGAACCACCAGGAGGACAAAAGCATCATGCCCAGCTCTAGGCCTCTGGGCTCCACTCTTCCCAGGAACAACACACACACACACACACACAGCCTCCCTTTTGACCAGCCGGGCATTCGTCGACACCCCCCCTGAACTGTTCTCCCCTGGGTTCTCGTGGAGATCAAAAGGGAATGTCGAATGGATTCCTACCCCTGCAGCCGTGGAGCCTCTGGCTGGAGCTGTGGGGGACGACAGGCGGACCTCCAGGCCCCTCTGGGAAGCCACCCCCAGGACTCGGCTCTCTCGAGGGACACCCAGGGAGGTCCACGGTGAGCAGGTTCCACCGGGCCTCACTCCGGCTCACCCAGATGCTTCTTAGGCTCTCTCCGGGAGGAGAGAGCCTTGAAGACTCTGGGATCAACAAGATCACGCTCCCTCTGCCTCTGTTATACGAGAATCAATCCATGATCATGACTATTAATGACTCCATACAAAACTAGGCTGAATTCGGATTAAAACGAGGGCATAATCTGTCTTCTCCCAAATGCCTGCACTGCACGCCACTTTCTCAAGAACCCTGTCCAAAAAGGAGTTCTGAGGACAGGCCATTGGGCAAAATCCTCTGGGCCATTTCATCAGGCAAGGAAGGCCCACCGACCATTCCTTGGGCCCTCCTGGCCGGCCTCCAGACGGGCAGGGGTCCGGAGACCACCCTGAAGGCTCAACAACCGTAAGCCAAGAGCCGCTCCGTTCATTGGAACAGACGCTCTGCATGGCCCCCACGGAAGGCATCGTTCACCCCAGCAAAAGGCTACGTGATTTCTATCCTGAAAGCGCTCCAGAAACCCTCCGCGCAGATCGCCAAGCCGGCTGCAAGGGGCCCTCGATGCAAAGTATGCAACTGAAAATGCAATGACAGGGGGGGCCCACAAAGCAAGCTCCCCTTGCTGCCTCTGGGGCCAGACAGCAAAACTTGAGTCTATCGACCGATGGGAGCCTGCCTTGGTCCGCATCGCCACGCTCCACACGACAGGCTTTCACCACATGTAGCAGAACTGCGTCTTTAAAGAAGAAAGGAGGCAGAAATTGGTAACAGCAAAAAGGCAAAGTTTGGCAAAGCTTAGCACAATCGATACGGCTGAACAGAGAAAAACTGCAAGATTTTGGTCCTAGTTAATGCAACCATTTTGGCAAGGTAAAAAAAAACAAAGTCTTGCACAGGAAAGGAGGCAATTAGGAAACTCGGACACATCCCCTGACCGAGGACGGAGGTCTCCTGCCTCTCCCTTGGCCCAGGGCTACGAAAGAGCCCCGAGCAAAGCCGGGCTCTTAAGGGAGGCAGGCCCAGAGTCTCTCTGGGAGGACACCTTGCGGGGGTGTGTGTGTGTGTGTCTGGAGCGACAACCGCAGCAAAAGACACAGCTAAGCTCTACAGAGACGTGTGACACGAGAGTCACGGGATCCCCCCACCTGAGCCCTAATCCCACCGCATGAGTGTCCCCCGACCGCAACGGCAGACGGACTCGGCTAACGTTCGGATCTAACTGACCAAGTTTCAGTGATGCAATTTTGGGCCATGCTCACCTTATCAGAAAAGGTCTGGAAAAAATCAGCCCACACCTCTGCCTGGTGATATTACTGCCCTGGGTGGCCTCCCAAGGAATTAGGAGTTTCAGCTCCAGCCTTCCCCCCAATTTGTTCACATCTGTACTAGGTAAGCGGGGGGGGGGGGAATAATTGGGCATGACTAGGTAGGTGCATTTCTAGGTGAGATGCGCGGGAAACAAATCTAATAAATAAAATTTAAATAAGGTGCCCTTGAACCTCTCCAGCATTTCGTCCTTCAGTCCAAGGACAAAACATCTGCCTTTCATGCCAAGAAAACTGGGGGGGGGGAGAGGACTTTCATGGCAGCCTCATGCGAGAAAAGCCGGAGCCTCAAAGCAAAATGGCTTCATCAGCAATAACAGCATCTCTGGTGAAATTGGCTGACTTTGGGAGGCTGCTTTTTCTTCCTTTTATATCTTTCTATTTTAACACATGTTATTCAGAGACTTTTTACAACTGAGCAGCGTATAAATTGCAGAAATAAATATTATGGAAGACTCCTTCCAAAAGCTAGATTAGCTTTGACATTATTATCCTTCTGGAAGCTTTTTTAAAAAAAAATTGGAGAGAATATTGCTTACGCATTGATACTCCTCTAAGTTATTTTCATTTTTGTAATTGACATACTGCTTTTAATTATCATTATGCATCACTGAGAATTGTTTGACTGTGGCAGTTTAGAAAATTAGTATATGAATGACCCACCTCCACCACGCTCCTAAATCAAGAGAGGTCGAGATGAAAGAATCTCCCGTCCCCTGCAGAGTCCGTTACAGACCCTGGAGCGTATATAACTCCTCTGTCTGTGCCTTCTGAGAAATGACTTGGCTTCCATTCACAGGCCTTTTTCCCCCTTTTATTGGGAGAAACTTTATTTTCAGAATTCTGACCTTGCAGGGTGGGGGGGGGAGGGAGGGAATAGACCAACTGTAACTGGGACTGAATAATTTTGCACCACGGTACCCAGAAGCCATGAAACCTTCAGGGCTAAAACCTTTCTGGATTCGGTTAAGTCTTCTTCCTCTCTGAACAGCCGGCTACTCCAAGAGACAGCTACGGTTTTATGTGTTCTCTTTGCCTTGGCACAACGACAGTATCCATCTAAACTAGGGTTAGGCCACCTCGGCCCTTTTATGACTGGTGGACTTCAACTCCCAGAATTCCTGAGCCAGCCATGCTGAGGGGAAAGGGAGAGGTTTCCATGCTGAGCCAGGCTGGCTCAGGAATTCTGGGAGTTGAAGTCCACCAGTCATAAAAGAGCCAAGGTTGCCTACCCCTGCTCTAAACTAATAAAGTCTACATTAATTAACATTAATTATGCTTTCATATGCTCCTCTAACTGAGGGGTCTTCAAACTTGGCTCTTTTATGACTCGTGGACTTCAACTCCCAGAATTCCTGAGCCAGCCATGCTGAGGGGAAAGGGAGAGGTTTCCAAGCTGAGCCATGCTGGCTCAGGAATTCTGGGAGTTGAAGTCCACGAGTCATAGAAGAGCCAAGGTTGCCTATCCCTGGTCTAACCCAAAGGTGATCCACAACAGGAGGAGGAAGGAAGCACCATTGAATCAGGGTATCAATAGATCAAATTCAGAAAGTATTTAAGAAAGAGCATTTGGCTGTGCAGAAGGAGAGGCCTGGCAGCTCCTCTGTCCCTGGCCCTGGCTGGGTCCAGCCCGCCATCAGAGCCCCCCCTCCCTCCAGTGCATCTCAGAGAGGCAGACCCCCAGGAAAGGGCAGGGGAGCGGAAGACTACCTTGCCTGGGTTTTCCAGACGGTGGAGACAATAAAGTTTCCCCCAGGCATCTCTCTGGTCTACAGACGCTGAGAGGCTTTGCTTGGCTCCCACGGGAAAGAGGGCCCTGCAGAGCGAAAGCTGCGAGCACGCAGGGATGACGGGCCAGCGAGCAGACGGGCTCTTCGCAACGTCTTTGGGCAAGTGAGACAAGCTGTGTTTGTGGACTGAGGTCGCTCACAAATGCTACGGACAAGACTACGGTCTGAAGCAGGCTGAGAGCTCTAAAGAAGAAACAGCCTCCTTGCTCAACCCCCAGATGGCCCCTTCAGAGGGTCTATCTATTTCATTTTCTAATCACTTCTGGAAAGAATTGTTGGTTGCTTTTCAGCCATTAGGAACCTTTGGGTCAACCAGTTGGACAGCACTGGGGAAGCTTCCTTCAATCCCTACCGGAAGTAAGTTTTAAGTGCTTAGGAAAAAAAATTGAGGGAACAGCAAAAGGGTGATTAAAACTTTTGATTTTGGGAAGTTACAAACAGACTAAAGGTCCAAATAAATTTGAAACGTTGGCGGTGTGCATAGCTCTCGGGCCCCTCGGGAGGGCCTGTGTTACATGGCTGTTCCGCACGCTGCGCCGGTTGCCAGTTTGCTTCCAGGTGCGAATCACGGGGTGAGTTGCCACCTTTAAAGCCCTTCGTGGCAGGGGAGACCTGCGCCCACCCCCCAGCCGAGCTTCCGTCAGGGCCTGAAGGCCTGGGCCTGCCAGCTGGCCTGGGAACCCAACGGGGGGGGGGGTGCCCCATTCTAGGGGCGGCTACTGGATTAAGAAAAGCCCCCACCTCTCCAGGTGTGCCTTGCGTTCCCCTCCTCCACCTCTCTGAACTGCACCTACTTTAGGGCTGTTATTTATTGTTTCATCATTTTCACATCTACCAGTTTGAATGCTTGCAGGCCGCCCAGAGTTACCTCCAGGTGAGGTGAGTGGCATACATAAAAATACATACATAAAGAGTTTGAAATTATAAAGAAGCCTTCCTGTGGGAAAATGTTTTTGTTTTGAATTTAAAAGAATAATAAAGAGTTTTAAAAATGGACACTAGAGGGAACCAGAGGGAAGTACGGTAAATATTACAATTAAAGGAGAAGAACACATAATTCCCACTTACAGAAGATGTAAAATTTTCTAACACTGGATGTACGGAAGGATATTTTTTGAACAAACAGTAGACTCAGGAGTTAATCTTAATAGTGTCAACAGAGACATCTGCACAGAGATTGTTTCTAAAAGATGTTATGGAAGAGAAACAAGTTTTACCTAAGAAGACTGAGTTTACAAATGACCGTCTACAAGAATCGCACGGAAAAAGGTGCCCAAAGAAAGGGGCTGAAACTGTCTTTAGAAGCTCTTTGCTCACCTGGGACAGGTGTGGGAGCCACATCCAGCCATTCAACTCCCCCTGAAGGGGATTCTCCTTAACAGCTTTCCTAAAATTGGTGCTGAAAAGCTTTTATATATTAATTCCTTCAATTCCTGCTGGGGAAAGCCCATTTGTCATCCAGGATTTTACTAGCTACCGATTCATCAGTCCTCCCGAGGGCCCTTCTGTTGCCCCCCCCAAGTGCCCCCAAACTCCAGGTGCAGCCAGCGGCTGGTTCACCTTCCAGCCAGGCCATCCCCCAAAGGGAAACTGGAGCCCACCAGGCATTAGGACCCTGAAGGCGTTACAGCATGGGTATCTGCGCACTGGCAGACGCCACCATTTCCCAATTTCGGGAGCGGGCGAGCCCCCTTCTCCGGAGAGGGGAGCAGGGCGGCTGCAGCAGCAGCAGCAGCAAGGGGGCCTGGCGCAGGGGCTGGGCGGTGCCCTTCGCCCATTTTTCGGCCTTGTTTTTTCAGCAACAGCCGGAGCAGCTGAGAGGAGACCAAGAGAGGGAGGATGCTCTCCGCTGAAGGGTAACCATAGCAACGCGGAGAGCGCCGAGGAGGATGCTGGCTGATAACCAGGTGAGCTGCTTTTGGTGCAGGGTGGTCCCCTCCAGGTGGGTCAGCCCAGCTCCATCCCTGGGGGAGGGTGTCTGTCTGGGGCCTCCTCGGTGGTTTTTCCTTCATTTCACCTTCACGAGAGGCACCCCCAGAAACCCCCCAACCTCCTCCCGCCCTTCATCTGTTCTCCATCTGCCCTGCCTTTCTCTCACTGCGGGACCCTTAACCGAAGAGCAGCGCAGCAGGGCTTGAGGCGCCCAAAGGGAAGGGCCTCTCTGCTCCGTCCCCTTCGGCCCCAGCTGCCTCCGACTAGGCACCCCGCTCCCCGGAGCCACTATGGCTACTTGAGAGGCTGGAAGCCACCAAGCCTGCCTGCCTGCAGGTAGGGGCAGATGGGGGAAGGCCACTGGCCACCACAAGGCTGCAAGATGGCCTGGGCCAATTCAGGAGCAGGGCTGCCTTGTCCGGATCAGGCTGCTAGCGGAGCTTTCTGGATTAATTACTGCTCTCCTTTTGACCGGATATGCTAAAGAGAAAAAGGCCACAGCAGGGCCTCCAAAGAGCTCTCGGTGCTGCTCCCAGCTATAACCCCGTCAAGGGGAGACAGGTCTCCTCTGGACCACAAGGAGCCCTGACCGGCTCGCTCAGGGAGATCTCCATTTGAAAGGCAAGGGCTGAAAGGGGTGCCCCAGAGTCCTCTCTACTGCCCATCAACGCCTACAGCACAGTTCAGGACCGATCGTGTAGGAATTCACAGCCGTGACTAAACAAGAGGTACCTTAACACGACCAGAGCTAAGATAAATGCTAGGGTAACACTGTCTTCAAATCCCACTTGGAATTTAACTCTCCGTTTTTATTTATACGTGGAAGGTTGGGGTTTCTGGTGCATTAAAAATCAAGATACAAACAGAGCAATCACCAACCAGACTTGGGGGAGGGGTGGTGGCATGGAAGCCCTTTTGTCTTTCCCAGGAAACCAGTGCAGAATTCTGGGAGTTGAAGTCCACAAGTCATCAAAGGGCCAAGTTTGAAGAGCCCTGGCTTAGACAAACTAGTTCTTCCTATTTACTCTTGTGAGCTGCCAGATAGCAAGTTTTCTGCTCCAACTCCAGCTGGATAATGACTTCCCTCGTTTGACTTATTTCCCTCGTTATTTTTACAAATAACTGAAGGTGGTGAACAAATCCAACACACCTCCCCCCTCCTAGTTTCCTCACAACCACCAGCCTATGAAGTGGATGTGAGGGGCGGAGAGAGACTTGGTTTCATGGCCAAGGCAGAACTTGAACTCATCACACTCACAGTCAGGCCTGGTGCCTTAACCATTATACCAAACTAGCTCTTAGCAGGTGTCAACAGCCTGCTAGATCCTTCCTCCTCGTTAACGTGTAACCTTCCCTTGCTGGTGCCTAAAGTAATCAACTCCAGGAGTGGAGGGGGGGACAGAGAGAGAGAAAAGAGAGAGAGAAAAGAGAGAGGGTGTGTGGGGTTATAAAGCTTCCCCAATGAAAGTAACCCCTTCCTGAGTCTAACTTTGGAAACCATTCCCAGTACTCAGATTCACTGTGGCAGACTGGGGAAAGACGCCCTAAGAAATTAACAGGGAAAATGTTAATAAACACGATCCAGTTTATTTGGTCCTGGCGCCATTTTCAAGGTATCAGTCCTGCAAATTCTAAATTATCCAGCAACACAAGAATGTCTGAAAATCTTGTAAAATGCAACGTCACGTGACTGTGTCAACAGTTCCAACACTTCTAGTCGCTTTTGTTAGCCCAGCCCTGTCTCACTGTTAGGTGTGACATCACGCAATCAGCATTTGTGACCTCCTCCCGTCTTTCCCTTTGACTCTGGCTTGTTGGAAGCGAGCAGTGAAGTTTGCCAATGGCACAGGACGACGCTGTGGGCGTTGCAGTTGTGTGATTGCATGGGGATGCTGTCACGGCTGCAACTTCCAGGCTAGAGACTTGTTCGGTGACACCATAACGTTGAATGTCGCTGAACAGTCGTTACCCGAGGAGTTCCTGTATTATAATGTGAGAGCCTGAAGCTTCCCTTTGACTGATCAGAGCCCATCTCCAGAGCACTCAGGATCTGACATAATTATTAATACTTCATTAACTTTACATGCCCCCCCCCCGACTCCCAGCAACTCTGACCTAAACTTATAATCCCGCCAGCCTGCCCAGTTCAGCAGAGAAGGTGGCATCCCAGCCTCTCGTCAGCCTCTTCCACCCTCCAAGTGAGCTAAAAGAGCACATCAACCTCCAGGCAGATCAACTGGGGGGAGGAAATAAATGCTCCGCTCTATTATTATTACTACGTCCTCCATAAACCCCATTTGGATGGCCAAGCCCAGTTCAGGCTCTCACAGGGCCAAAAGGACGGAGACCAAGTGGAGCAAG